CTAATCGCCTTTTATGATGAGATTACTGGTTCTGTGGATGAAGGGAAAGCAGTGGATGTATTGTTTCTTGACTTTAGCAAAGCTTTTGACACGGTCTCCCACAGTATTCTTGTCAGCAAGTTAAGGAAGTATGGGCTGGAAGAATGCACTATAAGGTGGGTAGAAAGCTGGCTAGATTGTCGGGCTCAACGGGTAGTTATCAATGGCTCCATGTCTAGTTGGCAGCCGGTATCAAGTGGAGTGCCCCAAGGGTCGGTCCTGGGGCCAGTTTTGTTCAATATCTTCATAAATGATCTGGAGGATGGTGTGGATTGCACTCTCAGCAAATTTGCGGATGATACTAAACTGGGAGGAGTGGTAGATACGCTGGAGGGGAGGGATAGGATACAGAAAGACCTGGACAAATTGGAGGATTGGGCCAAAAGAAATCTGATGAGGTTCAATAAGGATAAGTGCAGGGTCCTGCACTTAGGACGGAAGAACCCAATGCACAGCTACAGACTAGGGACCGAATGGCTAGGCAGCAGTTCTGCGGAAAAGGACCTAGGGGTGACAGTGGACGAGAAGCTGGATATGAGTCAGCAGTGTGCCCTTGTTGCCAAGAAGGCCAATGGCATTTTGGGATGTATAAGTAGGGGCATAGCGAGCAGATCGAGGGACGTGATCGTTCCCCTCTATTTGACATTGGTGAGGCCTCATCTGGAGTACTGTGTCCAGTTTTGGGCCCCACACTTCAAGAAGGATGTGGATAAATTGGAGAGAGTCCAGCGAAGGGCAACAAAAATGATTAGGGGTCTGGAACACATGAGTTATGAGGAGAGGCTGAGGGAGCTGGGATTGTTTAGCCTGCAGAAGAGAAGAATGAGGGGGGATTTGATAGCTGCTTTCAACTACCTGAAAGGGGGTTCCAAAGAGGATGGCTCTAGACTGTTCTCAATGGTAGCAGATGACAGAACGAGGAGTAATGGTCTCAAGCTGCAGTGGGGGAGGTTTAGATTGGATATTAGGAAAAACTTTTTCACTAAGAGGGTGGTGAAACACTGGAATGCGTTACCTAGGGAGGTGGTAGAATCTCCTTCCTTAGAGGTTTTTAAGGTCAGGCTTGACAAAGCCCTGGCTGGGATGATTTAACTGGGAATTGGTCCTGCTTCGAGCAGGGGGTTGGACTAGATGACCTTCTGGGGTCCCTTCCAACCCTTATATTCTATGATTTTAGGGTATATATAAAATAGTGATGGGGGAGACCGTCAAAGGCACAAATTGAAATTAAGCACCCATCTCCCATTGACTTTCAATGGGGGTTGGGCATCTATCTGCCCTTTGAAAATCTTCCCATCTCTATCTACAGGAGTTAGGAACCTATCCTGCTTAGGAGCTTCTGATATACTTTTTAAAATTGCTGTTAATTTTTATGTCTTTTGCTAGTTGCTCTTCAGTTTTGTTTTGGTTTTTGGCCTGGCTAATTCTGCTTTTACACGTCGCTTGGCAGAGTGTATGCTCCTTTCTATTTTCCTCAGTAGGTTTTGACTTCCCATTTTTAAAAGATGTCTTTTTGTCTCTAACCGCCTCTTTTACTTTGTTGTTTAGCGAGTGGCATTTTTTGGGTCCTTTCTGTTTTTTTTATTTGGGGTCTACATCTAGTTTGAGCCTCTATTGCGGTGTTTTTAGAACGTTTCCGTGCTGCTTGCAGGTATTTCACTCTTGTGACTGCCTTTTAATTTCTGTTTAACTAGCCTCCTCATTTTTGTGTAGTTACCCTTTTTGAAGTGAAATGTTACTGTGGTGGGCTTCTGTGGTATTTCCCTCCCTAAAAGGATGTTAAATTTAGTTACATGATGGTCGTTATTACCAGCAGTTCAACTATATTCACCTCTTGGACTAGATGCTGTACTCCACTTAGGGCTAAATCAAGAATTCTCTCTCCCCTTGTGGGTTTCAGGTCTAGCTGTCCCAAGAAGCAGTCATTAACAGTGTCTAGAAATTTTATCTCCATCCCGTCCTGAGGTGACATATTCCCAGTCAGAATGGGGATAGCTGAAATCCCACATTATTAATCAGTTAAGAACAAGATCACATTCAAAGGAAACTACTGCAAGGGAGACATAATTTAATTAGCCCAAGGGAATATGGCTAGGAAACCAGAGCTAACAAAATCCGTACTCTTATGAAAAGTACCATAAAAACCCGAGCAACCATGAGTGCCCAAGGGCATGTGATACTGTGATAGCCTAAGGCCAGCTCCTCTAACTAAAGCCAGCCTGGAACATCCTCTACAGTGAGAACTTGGAGCTGGCTTGGAGGGTGTTGCCTGTGACACATTTGCAAACAAGGGAGGCTCCAGCTTGTAAATATGCACTGCTGTCATTAATTAAGCAGGAAGAATTTGTGGAAGATTGGTGGTGGGGAGAACCATGAGAGGCTTCTCACAGCCTCATGCGAGGGTTATTCCATGGCAACTGAGCAAGGATCACCCGGTTTTGTGCTGTGTTAAAAACTAGAGCCTCAATCCAGTTTTCAACCTCCTGATAGACTGCGTGTTCAGTACTTGTGATTAGTGGTTGCATAAACTCTATAGGCCTGACTCTCAACTCACTTAGGCTGCTGCTATTTAGGGTTAACTCTATTGAAGTCATGGAGTTGAACTGGTGGGAGAGAGAGGAGCTAAAGTTTCTCAGTTACTCTGAACTTCCTCCTACTGTGAAAAGCAGAGCAGCTCCCATCACCTGTTCCCACAAGCCCCTTTGAACTGTACAACTGCCAAGTGCCAGGCGATTCCACTGCGTGCGTTCATTGCAATTTCTCCCTAGCAATCGTTTGCTCTACACAAAGACAAACAAGTTTCTATTTTAAACTCTAATCCATGGCTACTTCGTGCCTTTTGGAGAGTGGATGTCCTGGAAATGTCACTGCAGAGCGACATGCTCAAGGGATTAGAGGGGTTTCACTATGCAAATGACACTGCATAGTCACAGATGTTTCTCTGGCCAGAACGTCGGGTGCTGCTGCCCAGGCTTAACTTGCTGGATTTTGAATGAAAAACAACAAAGACCAGATCCTGAGCGGCGCTGAGACTTTGTGAATTCCATTGACTTTGAGTTGTAGGTGTTAATCCCTCTAAGGCTTTGGCCCCAAATAAATAAAGCTACATTCCTCTAGCTCACTCAATAGGCATTTCCGCCTCTAGGCAGCTGAGTTCAACAGTGATTTGGATCTCAGGTGAAAATATGTTTGGTGTTTCCACCCTTCCTGGATATGGATGTTGGCCCACATGTCAAGACAGCCACACAGTTTGACATGGCTGACAATCCTCCCCAGGAAGAGGCTCCAACAGAGAACAGCCCCAGGACACGGTCGCTCAGAATTAAGGGGCCTTGGCAGAGCTGGGTGGTGAGCCCAGAACTGAGACATCAGTGGGGGCGGGGAGGGGGGAGGAGGTGCAAGTTAGGGCTGAAGTGCCTCAGCAGAGCTGGACCGGGGGAAGATGCCAGATTGGAGGCTTAAGGGATGTTTCAGGTCACGACTTGGGGTACAGCTACACTGCAAAAAAAAAAGACCCGTGGCAGCAAATCTCAGCCTAGGTCAACTGACTCGAACTTGTAGGACTCACACTATGGGGCTAAAAATAGCTGTGTAGACATTTGGGCTCAGACTGGAGCCTGGCCTTTGAGACCCATCTCCCTTACCAGGCCTCAGCACACAGACTCCAGCCCAAGCCCACAGGTCTACGTGGGTATTTTTAGCCCATCAGTGCGAGCCCTTTCAGACAAAGTCAGTTGACCTGGGTTCTGGGACTGGTGGCTGTGGGTCTTTTTTTTTTTTTTTTGCATTGTAGACATACCCTATGGTGCATGGGCAGAGCTGTGGGGAGGGGAAGCTTGTACAGAATCTGCCTGAAGTCTATGGGCCTGACTCTCCTTTTGCCCTGCATCTTGTGTTGTCATTGACACCCACACAAAGTGGGTGTAGGACACTACCAAATCCGAATGTCAGCATTTTACACAAGGGTCAATCGTGACACATGCTGCAGGTCAGAGGAGAATAAGGCTCTCAGGGCAAGATTGTCAGAGTCAGTGGTCATTTTGCATGCCTCTATTTTTGGATGCCTAACTTGAGACAGTTTCCAGGGGCCTAATTTTCAGAGCGTGGGCACTCAGCATGTTCTGCAAATCAGACCCCTCTAAGATGTCTGAAGTTGAGCACCTGAAAACAGCCTCCCTTAGTCACTAGCCACCTCTGAAAATCTAGGCCTGTATCTGCAGTGTTCCTGGACCAAGACATTCACTCTCAAGAGTGAGCCTTGCTCCGGCTGGTTCACAATGACAGGCACCAACCACAAAAACTCCTCCTAATTGTGAGTATCCTGAGTGTGTGTGGGGAAGTGTTGAGTTGCACTTTAAAAAAATAAAAATCAATAAACAAAACTGCAGCTCAAGGGAGGCCACTTGTGTGCTCACCATTAACTGTTTGCTCCTTCCTCATGGCTCACATCTGCTCTGTATTTTGCATCGTGGGGGATTCTGATGCTCTGTGAAGCACAGCAAAGAACTACTGACAAGCCTGAAATTAGAGCTAGCACCATACTAAGCTTCTGGTTACCTAGAGCCTGAGACACACAGAGCCAGTAATTATCCAGATCATCTAGCAGCTGCGAGAATGTGGTAGAGTGCAGTGCCTTACCTAGTTATCTGCATTTTCCAAATCATAATTTGAGTAGAGCTGCCAACCCTCCAGGATTGTCCTGGAGTCTCCAGGAATTAAAGATTAATCTTTAATTAAAGATTATGTCATGTAATGAAACCTCCAAGAGTACATCCAACCAAAACTGGCAACCCTAAATTTGAGTCAAGCACATGGGCCAAACCCTGTTACACCAGAGCAACCTCACTGAAGCCAGCAAGGTTGCTTAGGTGGAAACAAGGGCAGAGGTTTGTCCCTGTTCTCTGAATTGTGTTTACGACTTTAAAGGGTCACAGGCGACCTCTTCATTTTTTTTGTTTCAGCTGGAACTGGATGGACTAAAATGCCATGAGCAAGGCTGTCGCACTGTACTTCTGATCCAGGTAGGAGAAGTGATGGGAATCACTCCAGGAAACCTATTCTAGTGGCAATTCCAGATTAAAGATTTTCAGATATGTATTAGTGTGATATTCGTCCTTAGATGGTTCTTCCAGCTTCCTGAGCAGGACTTTGGGAACAAGCAGCCAAAAAATCCCAGATAATTTTTACACTGGGCGTGGTGCATCTGAGGTTGGGATTTGGGGAGCAGATATTGACAGAAAGTATACATGATCGGGAAAGTTCAGGCATGTACCCCACTACTGCATCTATGTGGAGATGCAACACTAGATAGAGCTATTTAAACAGGGGAGAAGTTAGTGAATTTCAACACATACTAGGTAATACTAGAGGGGCTGTGGGGATAGAATCAAAGGGGAGCAAAGAAGAGAATGATGAGATGGAAATATCTCTTGCATTTAGGAGTGGAGCTGGGTGAATAACCGATTTTTCAGTTTCCCAAAACCTGGGGGGGGAGGGGGGGGAAATCTGTTCAGATCGAACCAAATCTAAAAATTTTCAGATTTTTTGGTGAATCAAAAAAGTCCCTATTTCAGGACAGGGATTCAAACCATACCTCAGGTACGTACCCTAACCACGGGGCTAAAGGTTATAAAGGGGGAGGGAGGACGGGCGTGGCAGCAGCACCAGCATTACCTCCTCCTTTCCCTCCTCCGGCCATTTTGTGAATTTGCAAAGAGTTTGGGGTCAACCGAAATTCCATTTTTTGTCAAGTAAACGTTGTCCAAAAAATGCTGCCCAGCTCTATTTATGAATTTGATGAAGTGAAGAATCCAGTTCATCCTGGTGTCTTGCTCATGTGAATCATGATACAACCACAAGATAAGGATATGAATCTCTTGGGGCTTGTCCAAAGTCTTCTAAACCTATGAAACCCACCAGCGGCTCCTGCAATTTAAATCTCTCCGTGATGAACATTCACCATGGCTACTGTTGGTCTTCTCCTGTAGTCTTGCTTTCCTGCCTCTTGTCAGATGATTGCTCCTCGAGTCCCGATTCCTGCCTCCTGCACGCTAATCGGACCAAATGTCTCTTTAGTCTGGGATCATGCAATGGGTAAGGCCAATGTCCATCTAGTATAAGTTTCTCACTCCTTGTTTTTCCAGACCAGATGATTTGCCCACCAGTTTGTAATCCTGCTTCTTGCCATAGCTGATTAAGCCAATGGGCTGTCTAGATCATCATCCTGGCTCTGGACGTGACCATTACCTGCACAACTCCACAATAATCAGTCCAGTCCTCACATGTCAGGGAGGTGAGGCTGAGAATGGCAAGGTACCCTTCACTCACTTCCCAAAAAGTGACAGGTTTCAGAGTAACAGCCGTGTTAGTCTGTATCCGCAAAAAGAAAAGGAGGACTTGTGGCACCTTAGAGACTAACCAATTTATTTGAGCATGAGCTTTCGTGAGCTACAGCTCACTTCATCGGATGCATGTGACATTAACTCACAGTGCGCTGACAGATTCCTGACTCTAAATTTCTGATTTTGCAGGCTTAAACCTGGTTTCCCTTTCTCTTGATAAGGCACCTAAGCCTTGTGTTTGCTGACTAATGCTAACAAATGAGGCCAATTGTTGCTTACTGGAATTACCTTTCAATGAGGAGTTGACACCAAGAACGATGTGTTTGTTTGCAGCCTGTAGAGGCCGCCGGGAGCATCTATCATCAGAAGAACTACATGTCAAAAGGGGTTTCAGGCTCTGAGTGATTCTCAGAATAGGAAGAAGGAGAGAGGCATGTACAGACCTGTAGTTGGACTCCTGATGTGTCTTTGGTGGAGCTTTCATCTTCCCCTTCTCTTTGTTTCCACAGAGGACTTTGTTCTATAAGATGTGGCTTTTAATTATGAGAGCTGTATGTACAATTAGTGGTTTACCTGAAGGGAAATTTGAACCATGTAAATAGGCATCTTTTTGCTATAAACCACATGTAGTAGGCTGGAAGAATTCTCTTTTGATATTTTCCAAGGTGGAGAAGGACATGTATGTGTTAGAAGATTCAATCCAGCTAGTTAAGGTTTTACTGGAGGAAGGAGTTTAGCAGATCTAAGTGCCACTGGCAGCATCATAGCAGGTAAGGTGAGAAAGAGTCAACTAGCAACCACAATATAGGCAAGAGAGGTGACATCAAAGAGAAATTTCCACTAGGCCCTTTAGTGGTTAGTAAACCGTGTATATACAAAACACTAAAGGAAGTGTAATAACATCTTCCTATTATATGGGGCCACGCTGAAGGATCATAAAGCACTGTGCAAACTGCAGATGTAAACACTAGGTTTGGTCTCTATTTCCCCCCTCCCCCCTTCAATTTAATGAAGATCTTCAGAATTTTGAAACGCCTGTTATCTCGCAGGATCGCAAACAGACCCAATTTTTGACTTTTATTGCAAAATCAGTTTTCAGCAAATGAAAATTTTCAACCATGGTATTGAGAAAATTTTTGATTAAAATAATGTTGCAAAAATGTTATGAAGATGGAACATTTTGAAAAAGTCCAGGTTTTTTTTCATTTTAGAAAAAAGTATATTTCTCAAAGAAAAAATAATTTCATTTGAAAAGTTTCAACCAGCTACAGTAAACACAAGGTATGATAATAATAATACCCAGCACTTACTCAGGCAGAACTGAGATATAAAGATATTTCAATGTAGCCAGCTAGTATAGAAGTTATTTGTGTGCCCGTGGAAGAGTAGTTCGGAGCAGAGACATAACCAGTGTCTCAGTATAAACTCAGGGCCAGATCTGCAGCTGGTGAAAATCACTGTAGTTCCCTTGACTCCACTGGAGCTATGCTGATTTACATCATCTGAAAACTGGGCCCCCACGTTCTGTTCTGTTTCTGGAAATATCTGCAAGTAAAAAATGAAAAGGCTGGATGGAGAGCAACAAAGAAGGTTTTGCCTGAGAATGAAAAATAAAATCCTCTGCATTATCTAAATCATTCCCTTAGGTGATGGGGCTCCACTGGGAGGTAATTGATCCTGATGGAGGAGTGAGTCTGCAGCTGGCCTCATCCGTCTCCTGGCAGAGTCCCGTTTTGGGGGTGCGGGGGGGGGGGGGGTTCATTGCTTCATTAGAAACCAACTGAATGTTTTAAGTTCATCTCTGTCTTCTGCTGGGAAGAAACATAGTTAAGCGCCCAGAACTGACCAAGGCTGCGGACATTCAAATTGCAAATTCCTGTTATTAAAACTATAAACTGTGAGACCATTAAAACAAGGGAGGGGGCTGGTGGTTATGAGATTTAGTAACACTTTGCTCTTCTAATCTCGTCTCAACGTCCCTGCAGGGATTTCAGATCTTGTAATCCTCCAGAATGACCCAGGCAGTTAGTTTCCCCCCTCTTGCAGACAGGCCAATAAATAATATATGTCTCTCCATATGTAGAATTCTTCTCAGTGTAAATTCTGTTCTCTTTGCTATCCCAGGCTCACAACATTGCAGGCTCCTTTACACACATAGTGAGCATCTGCCTTGTGCTAGAAAGAGAACCAAAAAAATTAGTTTTGAGCAATGCTTGTAGGGACAGTCCTGTACCTTGATCTAAAGTTGTGCAATTACCATATTGCTAGAAAATGTTGCAATCTGCAAATGTTTTAATTACTACTATTGTGTTTGTTGGTTTGTGTTACGATATTTCCTAGGAACCCCAGGCCAGGTTCTGTGGTAGGTGCTGTTAATGCAGCTACAGAGAAGACAGTCCCTGCCCCAGGGACCTCACAGTGTATGGTCAGACAGGGCAAAACAGATAAATGGGGGAGGGGGCTGAGAGGAGGAGGTAACAATAGGAAGAACAGAGTTTAGTGGAAATCAGCAGTCACAGCAAAGCAGATGTTGCCATTTAATGCTGGTTGGAGAAGCTCCGTCCTGCCTATGTGAATGTCTGTGTGCTTCATAGGCAGTATAAGATATATTGGCCTGATTCTCAGAGGCTTCTATTAATTATAATGGGAGTAGTGATTGCTCAGCATCTTTGAAAATCTGTCCCGCAGAGTCCTATGGAGCACAGAGCTTACCCACCTTCCATTTCACATCGGCATCTCTGCAAATTTTACCTTTGAACATCTCTTTTCTCCTTGCCCATGTTTCCTTTTTCTTCTCCCCTTCTGCTTTTGGCCTTGGGACTCAATCCTGAGAAGAGTGAGATGATTATGTGGGGCTGGGGGAAGCAACCGGAGGGAGTTGGCAGGGGTTATAACAGTTCCCCCGACTGAGGTGTTTGGCCCATTATCTGTAAGCAATATTTGCAAGCTGGGGGGATGATTAGATTCCCAGCTGTATTTAGATAACCAAACAGCAGCTGTAACCAGGACAAACTTCTGGCTATGAGGTTACAGCCCATGCTGTTGGAGGCACACCTGGCTCCTGTGAGCCATGGTTGGGAATGAGCCTTCAATGCACTCTACACGAGTGGAGTCACTCCAGATTTACTCCCATCTGGTGGAGAGCAGAGTTTAGTCCTAGGATTCTAGGGTAGTTTCGTTTGTACCACTGCACTGTTATGGAGACATGCATCTGAAGGGGCTGAGACTATAATGAAGAATGTTTATTTTGTCTGTAACCCAACTGGCTGATTCACTGTATTTCAAACCCCTGCAAGTAAATAAATGAGGGGAGTCTGCTTTCCCCCTCTAGGCTACAGCGTGTATACATGAGTGTTATTTCGTCTATCAGATTCCTGTACAAAAGACACTACCGGACCATTAATAATCTGGAGAAACACCTTGAAACTTGACTCAATGAGGGCACATTGCAAATGGACTCTAATGGCTTTTATTTCTCATCCCCGTCATCTCAGATCTAATCGGCCACCTTCTCATTTTTTATCCTATCGGCTCCCCTCTAAAATCATCCAGCAACTCTTCCCACAGTGCTGTGCAGAGCACCAGGGGGCTGAGTGACGGGGTCAGCAATTATTTATTAGCAAAGAAAGGTCAGGCGTATCATGTAGCAGTGAGCGGAATCCCAGAGCAGAGGGGAGAGG